AAGCGTGTTTGCTGGCAGAGAATGTGCGTGTTCAAAAACCAGGTGCCGGAAACGCTTGCCTGCTTGTGTTGAATGGTTGCCTAGGCTCCTTGTTTGTGCGTTGCCAAATAGACAACTTTTGATTGAGTTCCAAAGAGGAACTTTTGATCTTTTAGGAGTGGCCCAATTACAAGTTTTCCGTCGGTATGACCAATGGTGAAGGACGCAACAACAGCCAGACCAGCGTTCCTCAACCTTGGCAACTTTAAGATGTGTGGACTTCGCCTTCCAGAATTCTGGGGAGGCTGGGGAATTCTGGGAGTTGAAGTCCACACATCTTAAGGTGGCCGAGGAGGGATTTCTGGGAACTGTAGTCCACACATCTTAAAATTGCTGAGGTTGAGAAACACTGTTCTAGAGGACTACTTCTTCTCCATCCTTGTAAAAAAAAAAAAAAGAGTACAGCCTTGAGCCATTTTGTATAATTAAATGAGGGAAAAGATTATCCAATTACAGGCTTTTTTTGTACTTTGCAAGTGGCAAGTTTTTAACATACATACATACATAGATTTATATGGCTGCCCATCTCAAATACATGACTGGGTGGCTAATAATATTAAAAAGTAAATAAAAAAAAATTGTGTGTGTGTGTGTACGTGTGTGTATGTATACGTGTATGTGTGCATAGATATATATGTATATGTATATATATGCAAACTTACCAGATTACTTGAGTGATCAGCTTTCTTGCTGGAAAAGATCTTGAAAAGTGCTGTCTTGCACGATCCGGTTAGGCACTGATCGCATCTTCTCTGAGCTATAGAGGCAGTTGATTAATGCTGCATATCTTTAACAGCGCAGGGGCAGTCATGAGTGACTTGGAGATACAAACGCTTTGCATGGAAAGTTATAGCTCTCGATCTGCTCGGCATTACCAGGCCTTGCCTAACGGAAGGCTAAGCCGTGTCGCAGATGCCTCTGAAGACCGGCACTGGCATTCGCTCCGTCATATCTTCATGGTGGGTAAAGTGTTCTGGTTTTAAGAAGGTTTAGAGTTTAGAGAGCTACTGGACAGCAAGGGATGCCCAACTGATGACTGAATTAATTAAAAGTAGATAGATTATATCTGATCCTCTCCAGCCATACTTCTAACAATTTTCCCTTTATGTTCCCAAAGAATCTTACAATTTCACAGCACATTTTTTAGAGATCTGTGAGTAGCAGTCATTGCTTTCGGAAGTTCTGGGCACTTGAGGACTCAGGTTACGCAACTGGGATTCAAATAATTATTTTACCATCTTGATGAATATGGCCATGGGTTTTGCCTATCTAAAGATTAATGCTGATCAACTGAGACACCCTTGCCTCTTGGATTCACATTGGCTGTAGGATTTGAGAGCAGCCTTGCCATGCCAGTGGCCTGCGAGCCAGAGGTACTTTGGCCAAGTACAGGAGATGCATCACTGCAGTGCTCCACCAGGGTAGCTGTGCCACCAGGGAAGAAAATGCAAGCAGATTGGCAAACATGAGAGGGGATCCATGGGCAGAAAGGGGTGGCTCACTCTTTCTCTTTCCTGCAGTCGATCTTCCTGCCCCAGGGTTATCCTGAAAGTGTGAGCAAGGACTACCTGGCCTACCAGTTCTGGGACACCATCCAGGTGAGGAAGTGGTTTTTTCTGAGTGGTGGGGCTGCTCTCTTTCCATGGGATCCATGGAACTCAAACCTTCCTTCTCTTCGCATCCAGAAAGGCAGCCTCTCTGTTTTCCAGTCTGTAGAACAGCATATTTTTGAAAAGGGGGGGGGGGTTGCTTTAACTGGTTCTTTGGGCGTGTGGGTTTTTGGGTTTGTGAGCTAAGAGGACCCCCAGCTGGTGATGAACTGGGCCCAAAGGGTTCCTCATTCTGCTCCAACTATTGCCCTTTTTCTCTTCCTCTGCATCCCCCCCCCCATCTACTTGCAGGCCTTTGCAAGCAGCATCACAGGGACGCTGGCCACCCAGGCGGTGCTGAAGGGGGTGGGGGTCGGGGATGAGACGTCCACTGTTGCAGCTGCCACTGTCACTTGGATTCTGAAAGGTGGGCCTGACTTGAATTTCTCTGGGTCTTTCCCTCTGTTCTCATGGCAGAAGACCTTTCTCCCACAGGCTTCCTCACTTACTACTCTGAAGCCTCTCCTGTTGACCCAGTCCTATTTCTTGTGCCACCAGACCCTCCTGAGAACTTCTCCTCTTTGCCCCTCCTAATCCTCATCCAATGTAATTGCCTCCCAAGACTGTAGTTTAATAACTTTTCCTTGTGGCTTTCTTGAATTAAACACAACACAATACAAAATTACTCTTGTTCACTGTTGAACAAGCCAAAGTAACCTGGTTCACACAAAACACTGAGCTCTAAACACTGCTTTACAAACAACTATGTCTGGTTTGCATGTCATTGCTAAACTAAAATCCAGGAGATTGCATTATGAGACAGTGCAGCTTGTGAATCCAGCTTGTATTTGGTGAAGATGTTTGAAATAGTAGATATTTAATTGGGGGAAGGAGTGTTAATCATCCACAAATATTTGTTAAATCCAAAAGTAGGTCATTATGGCAATGTACATAATTTGCCCATCATGCAAGTGACACAAATGATGCCATTTACATAATGATGTCATTTATTTTATTATTTTATTTCTTAAATTGATTTCTATAGCTATATTCTCGTAGGTGTGACTTTGGATGGCTCAGAACACCTTAAAAACAATTTTAAAAACCCAATATCCATAAAACATTATGTAAACAATATAAACTGCTGCGGAAATTTGGTCTCTTGCATGCAAAATCAGTCGTGTCAACGTCTCCTTATAAATGCGCTGGGCATGATGGCCAATTAGATCGTCTCAGTTCTTTCAATTAACTGCTCCGTAAGTTGAGCAAGCATAAAATATGGCTGTTGTGTAAAGTCAATTGTGCTACTCGCATAGAATCTCTGTTCTAGTCAGGCCTAGGGTCACTGAAGCCAAGTTGCTCTCAGTTTCATGTCATCATGTGTTTAAGCCCATCCCACTTTCTTCTCCTCTAGATCTACTAGTCCTAGTCTCCCCTGTCTCAGAAATCTCTCTTCATGTTACTTTTGTATTTTCATACTCTGCCTTATGTTGCCATGAAAACAATTCATGTCTCTTCTGTGACAGATGGAACAGGAATGTTGGGCCGAATTGCTTTTGCTTGGAGCAAGGGGTGAGTTCTGCTTCTCTCCTCGCTTTGGTCTTAGTAGCCTGGGCAGGTATCTCTGGGTGGGGCTGTCTATATTTCATTTATTTCTCACCTTTTTCCAAAGAACTCAAGCTGGCATATATGACTCATCCATCCTCCCTCAGTAGTACCTTCACAACTTCCTGTGAGGTGGGCTGAGACATCATGATGGGCCTCAGTCATTCCAGGAAACTTGATGGATAAGTGGGGATATGAACCTGGGGCTTTCCTGTGATAGTCTACACCCAAGCTCTTTCCGGAACTAGATTTTAAAACCCTGTTACTTCCTTGTTTGCTTTCTTTTTCTTTTCTAGGAGCAAACTGGATTGTGATGCTAAGCAATGGAGGTAAAGAGGGATAAGGCCCTTCCTTCAGTTTTGACTTCCAATTAATAGGTCTCATGCCCAACCTTAGGTACACATTCATGCATTACCACAGTTGGGCATCATACCAAAGAGGTACGCTTGGGGTGGGGTGGGGAGCTGATTTATTTCTAATCTTAGCTAAGTGACTTTTTCCAACAACACCGCCCAGACTCTTTGCAGATGTGCTCAATGACGTGGCCATCTTCATGGAGATCATGGCACCAGCTTTCCCAGCATGCTTCACACTCATTGTCTGCACAAGTGGCTTTTTCAAGGTAAAGACCAAGTGTGCAGAGAAGAGGAGTTGACTTGACAATATTAGAAGTAACTGTGGAGTAAAAGCAACAGACTAAGGACTTGGTCTCTAAAATGGGGGGAGCAAACCTGGTGGGCTGGTTGTGGAAACAGTGAGAGTTTCAACCACTCTTTTTGTAGCACACAAAGCTTCTCTTCTGCTCTGTTCTCTTCTGTCTTCTCTTTGTGTCAGTGCATTGTGGGTGTGGCTGGAGGGGCCACCCGGGCAGCTCTCACCATGCACCAGGCCCGCCGGGACAACATGGCAGATGTATCAGCCAAAGATGGAAGCCAGGTGAAATGAGGGATCACAGAAAAACACCCAGCTCATGACTTGGCCAAGAAGAGATCATGAAGGACCTCTGGTCTAAACCTACTTTCTTCTAACCTTCTCCTGACTTTTTCCCATTACACAGGAGACGCTAGTGAACTTAGCTGGCCTACTCTTCAGTCTCTTCCTGATCCCTATTGTAGCGGACAATCTCCAGTGAGTAAAATGCTGTTTTTTCATTCTCTCTCTCTCTCTCTCTCTCTCTGTGCATGTGTCTGTGTGTGTGTGTAGACCAGGCAGATTGTGGAGGAATAATATACAAGGATAAAAGGAATGGAATGGTGAGGGAGAGAAAGGGGAGAGATTGGTGAAACAAAGGTAGGGATGGGGAATCTTTTCTCTCAATTCTCGTTCTCTTCCCTTCAGCCTCACCTATGCCTTCTATGCTCTCTTCACTATCCTCCATCTCTACGCCAACTATCAAGCAGTACGGGCGGTTTGCATGGAGACCCTTAACCGTGCCCGGCTCCACTTAGTCTTGCAGCATTACTTGCAGTGGGAAGAAGTGCCTGGACCTGCTATCATCAATCCTCAGGAGCCCCTTCTGCTAGGTAACTAAGGGCTCGCGATCCCAGGCATCCTGTGGTACCATGTCCAATGGTTATGTTGATAATATGGACTAGAGTGGCCATTGACGTAGGGATGGCTTCAAAAAAAAAAAAATGTTATGGAAATCTGTGTGTGTCAAGCATGGGATTATTTTCCAGTTCTTCTCCTAGGGGTGCAAGAGTTAATCTGAGGAAGGGAGGTTTACCTCGATCTGATCCTGGTAAGGAAGAATAGCTTTGTTCAAGTTCTCATTTGCCAGTAGGCCAATCTAGCAGTCCAGATGAGGATCATGGGTGGGAATTTGCCAACCACTGGGATATAGGCAGGACAACCAGATCTGAGCTGCAAGAATCACTAGATGGGAGCAAAGCGTGTGTTTTCTGTGCCACCTTGCTGCCATCTAGTGGTCATCAGAAGTTCTGCAGTGATAGGTAAATCCACAATGTTCTAGTTTTTGATGGAAACCATGAAACTCCAATAGAGTGTTTTGTGGGCATGTGTGAGAAGCTACTCTGGTAGTGGTGGAGCTCATGTTCTATCACCTAGCCAAGACTTCCACCAAATATTTGGTCAGTATTATTCGAATAAAGGGTTGCGGCTCATACACATTTTTCAATGTAGGGTTTCATCAGCAGCTCAAGATATCTCTTGGGACTCCTCTTTATACAGTGACTTCCAGGTGAGTTTCCTCCATTATTCTGAGGAAATTGGATGTATAATTTACTCTTTTAAAGTTGAGTTATATTATTGGTTTTAATTGGGAGCTTCTGTGAGCAAATACAGTAAATGGAGCATATTTTATAGGGATTTTAAAAAGCAGAGAAATGTGTACTCTTAACTGGCACTGACATCTAAGATGCAAACTTTTTTCTCAGTGCTGAAAATATTCTTTGGGAAACCAAAGAGAGAGTCTTCCCATCCCCAAAGCATCCTTCTTTAACCTTTGCTACTCATGTTTTTCTCCAATCTCCATCAGTGTTGCTGACTTCCAGAAAGCTCTTGAAGGCAACACTACAAATTACTTAATTTTCTTCAACCGACCAGCAGGTGGGTATGTGATCATATTGCAGGAAGATGTGAATTTCTGGCAGGGAAGACAAGTGTGGTCTGGTGGATAGTCTTGGGCTGGGATAAAGGAGATCTGAGATCAAGTTCCCATGTGAAGGTTGCCTGACTTTGGGCCAATCACCATTTCTTAGCCCAGCCAACCTCATGGGGTGGTTGAGTGGAGATCCTTGGGTCCAACTTGAGCTTCTAGAAGAAGGTGAGATATGTGTTATAGTAATAATCCACAGAGCCACAGAAACTCTTCGGCCATGCTGGTTGGGAATTGTAGTCCCAACACAACTGAAGAGGGCTGATATGCTCCTTGCATGCTTTCTCAACCATGCCTGTTGATTTTATATCATTCTTATTCCTTGACATATGGGCTAATTATGATTATATTTTGAGAATGATCTTTGGAATTATCAGCATTGCAATTTATTTTGAGGTATAACCTATAGTGAAGAATATAGTGAAGAATATATAAGAAGAATATATATGTAAGAATATATATTCAGAACTCAGCAGTGTTTTGATCATTATCCAAAATGGGCTGTCCATTTCACTTCTTTCCCATTTTGCTCCATCAGAATAACATTGATCTGGTGGAAGATCTGATAGTAAAGTGATCACAAGAGGGAGCACATCCAGAATCTTCCCATGCCTGTCTGTTCATTGACTCCTGTCTCTCTCTGTAGGGACGATCTCTATCCTGCTCCATCGGCAAGCAGACAGTGTGGATGTGATTAAAGCCTACACCCACGCCCTTATTCTAGAGGTCCTGCTACATCAAGATGTGGGAATGTGTGCCTTGGAAAGAGTGTCCCTCCTGCATTTGCAGCATCAGTTATGTAAAGGTGATGACCTGGGAAGTGAATTTGGAGGAAAAAACGACTTGGGAGTAGGGGGCAATCCAGAGGAGTAGCCATAACTTGGTGAGACTGGAAACCCACATTGCAGGTTCTTTTTTTGGTATCTCTCACTAGAAAGGGCTGGGGAGGCATCTCTCTCTGGTCCTGATTGTCTATCAAGGTTTGCAGCCCTTTTATTCCAGTACATTACATTGTGTGTTGACAGCTGGGTTCATGGTATGACCCACTGCAGGAGTATCCACATGTCCTCCCACGGTCCTCTCCCTGTGAGATCACTTCACTTGCCCTCCTCAGATTTGATCAGTTGAGGAAAGGCTTGCAAATGAAACCAAGATGTTTGCACCACCTTCCTCATGTCAATTATGTGCCCTACAACTGACAAAACTACTCTGTGGTAGACCTTTTCAAGAGAAGGTGGGAGCATGGAAGACAGAGAGATTTGGAGGTGGGGGTCTACATCAGGCTACCCCAGTCTTCTGGGGAGGGGAGAAGGGAGTTGCTCATCATAGATGATGCTCGGTAAGGTAGATGGTTGGTAACAGGCTGCTGCTTCTGTTCTCTCTCCTGCAGCATTTGGAAAAGGTTTTACAATTCCTGGTAACCTAACCTGTACCTTGTTTGTGGATTAATTTCCTTCGCATTTATAGTTCACCTCCTTCCAGGGACTCAAGGAGAATAATTTTGTTTCTCTTCTTCAGTCTGCAAAGGTTTTTCCCTCCCTTTCTCTTGCTTGCACCTGGCACAGATCTGCGGAGCAAGTTGCTCCTCATTTTCTCTCTTCCTCTTCATGCTTTTCAGAATCCAATAAAGAGGATCCCAAGATACATTCTGAAATGCATCAGTTCTTGGACAGGATATTTCCCAAATTCCTGGCAGGTGCGTGGTGGAAATTTAGAACCTGAGTTTTCCTTTAAATCCTGGATTCAGCACAAGAAAACTCCAATTTCACTTTTCAGCAGGTTACATCCATGGAGCCAACCTACACCTTTAAATGCTTCAGCTCGGTTGGGCATGGCAGCGTGTTGATGGCCAGGGACCACCCTTATTGGGGAGGGGAGGGGGGCTGAGGGCCCTCAAGAGGAGAGGGTCGCATTCATGTGGGTGGGATTGGTGGGAATATTGGGGGGTGGGGTTGTCTGCTTTCTAACTGTGATAATGCCTGTTTTAGCAGCTTTCATGTGCTTTCTACCGCAAAATAGTGAGAAATGACACCATCAGTTTTTAGCAGGTGATCAGAATAGCTTTCAGCAGCCGCAGAAAGAGGACCTGGGGGATTACAGAGACTTCTGAGGCCACAGCCGCCATCCCTACCCCCCAGTGCTGAATAAAAGGGATTTAGATATATGCTGGACCTTTCTCAGGACAGCTGGATTAATGCAGCCCTGAAGAACATCAGAAGATTCCAGAGTCCTTTTGTTCCTGGAACAGTGGCGTTCGTACCTTCCTAGGAAGATGTGAAATCATCTTTGTACAAAGCTCTCCCAGTGCTCAGTGGCTTCTGAGTGTCACTCAGAGCTTTGCCCAGTTTTTTTTTAATTAAACCAGATACAAGTAGTCATTGCTTACCGACCATTCATTCAGCGACCATTCGAAGTTATGACGGCGCTGAACAAGACGACTTATAACAACTCGTAGATGTTGTGGCTGCTGCAGTGTCCCTGTGATCGCTTTATCATGATTCGGGTGCTTAGCAACTGGTGCACATTTACGATGGTCACAGCGTCCTGCATTCACATGATCGCCATTTACAACCTTCACAGCCGGCTTCTGACAAGCAAAGTCAATGGGGAAGCCAGCAGGAAGTCACAAGTTGCGGTCACATGACATTGCATTTAATGATCTGTGGTGATTCACTTAATGACCACACCCAGAAATAATGAGCTGCCATCGTAAGTTGAGCACAGTCACGTGATTTTTCACTTTACAACTGTGTTGCTTAGTGACAGAATTGCTGGTTCCTATTGCAGTGGGCAAGTGAGGACTACCTCTAGTTTTGAATTTCTAATGTGTAATGGATGGTGTAAGCAGGGAAGATTCTGGAACGGAGCTTCAAGGTTGTCAGGAGGGGGGAGAGACATTCCAGGGCAGGTGCCTCCTCAGCCCGCAGCAAGAGCGTGGGAAGACGAAGAGGATGAGTCTCATGAGTTATAGCCACTAGTTGCTTTAGCATAGGTTGAGTCTGGCGAGATGGATGTCAGGTTCAGCCCAAGAACAGCAATGAGGCAATCCAGTACAGTTCAGTTCCTTTATTAGCTCGCACCTAATAGACAAAGTCTCGCCAGACTCAACCTATGCTAAAGCAACTAGTGGCTATAACCGGTGAGACTCATCCTCTTCGTCTTCCCGCGCTCTTGCTGCGGGCTGAGGCGGCGCCTGCCCTGGAATGTGTCTCCCCCCTCCTGACAACCTTGAGTTGCATTCCAGAATCTTCCCCGCTCACGCCATCCATTACAAATGCTGTTTACACTTGTATCCCTTGTTCTGCCCCAGAAAGATAGAAACAAAGGTCGAGGTGAAATCTTTATGGATATACCCAATCCTTTCTGTTCACTTGGGTTCTTCTGTGCTTCCAAGGACTGACAGCCGCTGGATGGGTAACCGACCGGAACCTCCTAGGCCCCGGGGAGTGGCGCATGGAATGGCTCAGTGCTGAGAAGAAAACCCTCTGACTATGGCTCTGGAAGAATTTTTATGCCAAGGACCTGATTTGTTCAGGCCTAAAAAAGGAGGGGATCCTGGTTTCCTTGGGGTTGTCATTTACAAAGACAACTATGGGGTTGGATTTGCCTTGTCTCAGTTTACCACAGCTGTAATTCTAAAATAAAGATGAGGTGTCAGCAACATAAGACCTCCTTTCTTTCCGATTTTTTTTTTAATGTGATGAAGTGTTTACATATTTTGCCTTTGGGGATAATGCTATTATATATTTCATAGCAGCACCGTAGGATTAATAGTTGGTGTGTTTAATCATACAGGTAATCCTTGTTTAGCAACCACAATTGGGACTGGAAACTCGGTCGTTAAGCAAAGTGGTCGCTAAGTGAAACCTTATGATCTTACTTATGATCTTGCTTCAGCTTTCCTATGCTTTACAGAGCTGCAAAGGTCATAAATGCAAGAATTGGTCGCAAGGTTACTTTTGCATCACCGTTGTAACTGCGAACAGTCGCTGTCCGAGGCAGTCGCTAAACGAGGACTTCCTGTACTCCCTGATTTTGCATTCCCAGGCCAGTACTCAGTGCCTGCCTTGTTCAGTATGGGGGATTCTTCTCTTTGTTTACATAGATTTTTAACCCACAAACTTGGATTTTTACCCCAAAGGGAAGTATATCAGCTTCCTTTCACATCTGTTCCTTTGCCTCCTGTCTAGTATACACAAATGCTATGATTGTTTTTTTTTTCAGTCTTCCAAATATAGGGGTTTTTTTGTGCGTTTGTCTCTCTCTTTTCCAAAAACTGGGCGGGATGGGATGGAATGTGAAGTATTGTGGAAGAGTAGGATAAATGGGTACTCCTTCTCATTGCTAGCATGAGAAATAAAAGGGCATTTTGGTGTCTTACATATGTTGCAGTTCTGGAAAAAATTCAACAGCTCTTCTTGGAGGAGAAGAACATGAGAGGTGCATAAAGATAGGGGAGCATAAATATTTGTGAAGGACATTGAGGCAAGCATATGATAAGCAAGCAGTCTGGAGACTTATATATAACCATAATTAGAGATAGTTTAGGTGACCAGTTGTGAAACTACAGCAAGTAAGAAGATGATGCTAAGACTGGGAAAACTGCAAATTCGATGTCATCTGGGCACTTGAGAAGAAGAATTGGTTTCTCCCTAACCCCAGTTGCCAACAGCTTTGAGTGGCTTGTCTTTTTCATGATGTGATATAACTAAAAAAAATGGTTTTCCAAAGAGTGAGTTGTGATGAGTTTTGATGAATGTTGACTTGGATGACATAGGTAGATCTTCAGTGACTTGGATGATCCTAACTTGATGGCAGGTGACCCAGATGACTGTTGTGGAGTCCCTCCTATTTCTAATTCCATCTTTTTGCACCTGTTGTTCTGAGGCTGATGAGTTGATGTGATGTACCTGGAGGAGTGGGTGAGCAACATATTCTGTTGAGCTGCTGTGGTTGACGGTCCTCAGGCATAGTAGCCCCACATGAATATGGCTAGGGCCATCATGATCACAGCATTGATGTTGACTACCCGCCTCCAGAGCGGGTGCTCTGTGATACCCGCCAGATGCTGGAAGCCTTTGTCCTCTTCTGGGCTCAGTTCTGGCTCCTTTGGGCTGTCAGAGCTCATCCCACAAAACCAGGCCAGGCCTCGGCGTAGTCGGCCAAAGGAGGTCATTGCTTTGGCATCTGTGTAGAGAGGAAAGAGGCATCTGAGATTAGAGTTCTCACGAAATATTGAAGCCCTTGTGATGACTGTGAAGTTGTGACGGGGTGAACTCAAAAGGAAAGAAACACATAGTGAGAACATTTGATAACTTGGGGGCACACCAGGATTGTTTGGATGTGTATTTGAGAAAGGCTGGATCTTGTTTCCAAAATAACACTACATGAGAACCAGTATGGTGTAGTGGTTAAGGGGTTGGACTGGCACTGGAGAGACCCAGATTCAAGTCCACCCTCATTGAATGATTTTGGACCAGCCATGCTCTCTCAGCCCAGCCTAACTCAAAGGTGGAGGGAGTACTATGTATGCTGCCTTGAGCTCCTGAATGAAAGGTGGGCTATAAATCAAATAAATAAATAGCACAACATCCCCTCACCATCCACCTCTAGGACAGGCTCCAGTCTTCCATTCTTGGTGGCTGCATTCTCGGCTCGCTGCTGGCACCGTTTTGCTTCCTCCTCCTCTTCCGTATCCAGATCGACCCGTGTCTCCTTACTGTGCCTGAGGCTGAATACCAGGCGATGCAGCTGGGTTGGCGGAATGGAAGTTTTGAGATGTGCGAATGGCAAAACAGAATGGCTGTGTGGGACGGGGATTCTGGGAATTGTTGCCCAACTGAGAAATGGATCACCTGACAACTGAATGCAATCATTTCTCCTTTATATAGCCAAACCCAGCATGAGCTGGGCAACAAATTGGAAAAGTCTAGTTTAGCTATATAAAGGAGAAATGATTGCATTCAGTTGTCAGGTGATCCATTTCTCAGTTAGGGAGGTGTTGTGACACCACAACTACCAGCTCTATTCCCAGGAAACTCCCTGATGTCACCATCCCCAATTTCCTTTGGAATCCCTATTAGTGCCTATGAACATAATTACATAATTAAGTTGTACATAATTAAGTTGGCATGTAAAAGGCTTGTGGACCAGCTTATGGCCCTGAAAGAATTTCTGCCCTGGAAGCTGGGTCCAATTAGAAGATGAGAAATAGGTGGGTGGGAAAAGGTGGCGGTTGGACTGTTGAGGATTAGAAGAATATTGTCTGGTGGGAAGAGAGAGAGGGAATGTTCCCCCTTGGAAATTAAAAGCCAATTCCGACTTGTTTAAAAAAGTACTGAATTCAAGTGTGTGTGTGTGTGAGAGAGAATGAGAGAGAGAGAGGGATGGATGGATGGAACACATATACCTACGAATATACATACCTACAAACATTATATATTAATGTATTGTTCTAAGCTATAATTTATAACATGAAATAGGTGAATTTTAATTCTTGTGGATTTCTTAGTCATGGACATGTCATTTTCATGCAACAGTAGAGAAGGGATATGCCACTGAGACTTTTTGCAATGTTTTTTCAACTTTCCAGCCTTGGACCTGGGTTTTCCTGATGTTCACCCCCACCCCCACCCAGGTAATAAGCTGATCTGACCCTACTTTGCTTTTTCAAGATCAGCGAAGTTTGGCTGGGACACCGATTATAGATCAAAAAACATATTATTGGGAAAAGGTAATTTAAATAATGTTCATGTCCCACATTTTTTTTTTTTTAATAACTCAAGGAAATAGTCTTTACTTCTGTTTGAATGGAAGAAGCAGCCTGGTTTTCCTTTTGAATTGCTCACTCTGTTTGAGATGATATCACTTGCTTGTTTGTGAAAACCAGGCATAGAGATTCTGCTTCTTAAAACTCACTCCTCACTATGAAGAAAAATAAAGCTGGCAGGCTAAGTTTAAGAGTCATTTAGGAAGGAAAAAAAGTCAAGTATTAAAAGAAAGAGTTACCCAGCAGAGAAGCTGCACAGTGAAACACTATGAAGGAAGCACTACAAAGCTGCTGCCAGCTGAAGCTTCTTAGACTCCTACTGAAAGCTAAGTAGGCTTCTCTAGATCTACTACCCAAATTTACTCATGGGGCAACAGTATTTTCCTCATACTGGCTGTGTGCCTGACTATAGGGAGGAAGAGGTTTAGAAATAAATAGTGACTAGATAAGAATCCTCTTGTCTGTGAGTCTAGTGGGTTGGAAGGAAAGCCATAGAAGTTATGTAAAAGAGGGGTGGCCTTTCTAGGCTGCTGCCTCTGTGACTTGGAGGTCTGAAATGGAGGAGCTTCAAGTGACCATGGGAAGGAGACACATCTCTTATAAAGCCCTCGCTAGGCCCTTGTGTCAGAAAAAGTATTCCAATGCATTGGCACTATTTCCCTCATCCCAAACTCCCCCTGTACTTACATGTTTGTCAGGAATAGGTGATGTGCAGAGCGAGACCCCCATTGCAATGGCAGCCGTAGCCAAGAATAGGATGAGGGCAAAATAAAGGTAGTGGACCCCACAGATCAGACGAGGGCAGTTGCTTGGGAAGAGACAACTTCCTGTCCCATAGACGAATTCTGGGATCATTCGGGCCATGCCTATGGCTAGTCCCCCCATCATGCCCCAGAATGCACCCTGAAGAGGAAAATGGAGGATGAGTAACAAAACAGGATGGAGCCTTCACATTCTGTCGACACTTAGCTCCTGTTCAGGCGCCTTCCCCGTTCCCTAAAACTGAGAGACCACTGCAAATCTGGGAAAAGCATGATTGTTAAAAAGTTTAGAACGGTGTGACCCAGACCTTTCATCTCTGGATTTACACCAGCAGGTCAATATTTTCCCATCTCCAGGACTACATGTCATGAAACAGCCAGCTCCAGCTTAACTCCTGATGACTTATGTTTATGAAGATTCTCAGTCACTGCTGTTGGAATTGTCTGGAGGTTGAGTCATGGCAACTGGAAATCTTTTCTTTTTTGTTAGAGACGTTTCGCTACTTGTCCAAGAAGCTGCTTGG